CAACGGAAATACAGCGGACCCTTTGCAGGTAGGGGCAGGAGGCGGCTCTGTAAGTGTCGCAGCGATAAGCAGCCGTGGCACGCCCCCCTTTTAGCCGTTCCTCCGCTTATGCAAATGTGTGAAAAGCCAAAGGACAACTTCGTGGTGCATGTCGCCATTGGGCGTGACTTGACTCGGTGGGTAAGCGATACGCGATACAAGTTTTACTTGCAACCCTTTTTCGCTACAGGTGCAGCTGCAGCGGTAAGTATAAAGCTACAGATCGGGGCATGTAAACAAATAAAAGCTTTGGCAGCGACTGCATGATTTATGCCTCCGTTTTGGGCTGCTTTAAGTGCCCCTCTCTGTTGCATGTGAAACGGCCATTTAAATTTATGAATTCTGTTGTCTGTTGTCTGCGAAAATCAATAAAAAAAAACGCGCCACGTTTATCGATACGCTGAGTGAAGTAGCAGTATCTGCTAGAGATGACAGCGATATGGCAGGGATAAGCAGCGGATATATACTTGTATATGAGCAAGGACCGCAGGACATCATCGCGTTGCTTCGCACGGTGCGACGCATAAATTTCAATTTTCAATAAAATACTTGTAAAAAATGCGGGTAATTTGCGTTTTTTATTTGCTGGCACTCGCACACACACACACACACAAACACACACACACGCACAACCACAAATATGCAGCAGCTTCAGTCATGTGTAGACATAAAGGCTGCAACGGCATTCTATATGTATATATATCCCATAGATATATGGGAAATGCGATGCTTTTTATGCGGTCGATTTTAAATGTGTCTACTTGGAGTGCTAAAAAAAATTGTCATATGAAAAATGCATAATAAATGTGCTTGATTGGCGAGCAAAGCGGGCTGTGTGTGACTGTGAGAGTGTGTGAGTGTATGTGTGTGTGTGTGTGTGCATGTGAGTGTGCTGTGTGGCATGTTCACATACCCTAAGAGAGTGTAGCAAACATTTACAGCTTTAGGTTCGAGTTTCGGCCTTATACATTTTTATAGATATTGGCGACATTGGCTGATTGATTTTTGGCGCTATTGCTGGGGCGTTATCCACCAGCAAAAAGCGAGGAGCGGAAACGGGGCTGACATCCAACTAGATGAATAGTGCTGAAATAGTAACTGTTGTGGAAATAAAATAGTCGAAAAATACGAAAGGCGAGTCATAAAATGAATGTACGATTGCTATACATATACATATATCAAAAGCCGGGTAATAAAAATGCGAAACAGCTTTGATGTGTCATCAGACTCGGATCATTGCAATGAGAACATGAAGATAATCAAAGTGGGAGCAATGCTCTAATTGACTGAGACAAGATGACATTAAAAATGAATATGCACAAGCAGAAAAGCAAATTGCTTCTTTTGGTTATATTTAAGTGGAATTTTAATATGAATTTCGAGCACAAGTTATGTTAGCTTAACTAAAAAACCAAAACTTAAGCGATTTTTTCAATGTACAATGAACGATGAACGAATTAGCAATATTTTATATGGAATATTTATTGTATGGAAAAATATTATTATTATTATTGTACGAATTTATAAAAGAATATTTTATCAGTCGTCGGTTTGTGTTTATAGATTATTCTATATGATGCCCGAAACAAAAATGTGCAAAAATCAAGCAAATGATAAATGTTTGCAAAACTAAGCTGGTCTGTTTACACATTTAATTAAATTCGTGTTAGTTGTGTTTGCTTTTAGTAATGTTTCATCTATGATGAAGTGGTTCAATCCGTTAATCAGGGATTTTACATGGACATCGGCCAAGTAAACACAAATGTTTACCTAAAGCGACGAAAACAATGTTTATAATTCATGTGCCAGCGTTTTAAATATTTAATGTGTTTCTAATTGTGCGGCAATGTGCACACCCACATCCACACACTCACATACCAACATCCACCCACCCACAGGCATTTGCATATGTATTCCTAAATTATGCAGCCAAACATTTGGTATGGCATTTATCACGGCAAAGAGAAGTCCATAGCCTGGAATTGTGTTGCCAAATGATTTATTGTTTTAAAATTAAAATTGCATGTGTAGTTTTTAGACAATTCTGAATTTGGCTAAGTGCACAGATGATGTCCCCAAACCCCAAAAACCAAAACAGTGGAGCACAAAACATATTTAATACTAATTAAAATTGTAGACAAGCACTTACGCAAACTGTGTGTTGTTAATTGTTGCTGTTGTTTGGAACTAATGTGGTAGTAAGCTTACCTGCAATTAGAAGAACATATGGGAAAAAATTAAATGATATGATTAGCTGCATTGTAAGTTTGTTAGCGGCACTGCAAACCGGGAAGCACCTCAACACCATAGCAACTGAAGTTGATCAGCGGCCACTTTGCGACCCAAGGGGACGGCACAGAGCTGTCAACGCTTCGGGTAGTTGGTTCTCACATGCCACAGGTAATTTGTTGCTCATGACTAATGCACAATGGGCCCAGATTGGACAAGTTCGGTCTCTGGACTTTGTCCACCTAGCAAAAGGAGCGCAATACAAAAAACTAAAAAAAAAAAATAAAAAAAAATATACAAAGACAGACAACAACAAACAGACAAACAACAATCTCATGGCACGTCAACAAAGTCCCAAAGGCACTCACACACACAAACACACACACACACACACACATACACATGCATACCCTAAAATGGATAGAGACAAAGAGCAATTGCTTGCCGTTGTTGCTGCATCTTTCAATTGAACCCTTTTTTCCGTTCGATTCATTTTTGTTGCGTCTATAAAAACTGAAGGCAGGAAAATTGAAATGACATAAAATGAAAATTCCAGTACGTGCGCACAATATATGTATATATAGCCCAATGTCCATTGGGGATCAGCAGCATCTGCGTACTGGGATACTACTGCAATACGGGATGGACATGTGAAAGTACACATAATGAAAAAGTGCCCCAGCAGTAAGTAATCGAGTAGCAGGCGGAAGAGGGGTCCACAAAAACAAAAACGTGGCCAGCATCATTGTCGTTATGGCCCTCTCTCTACTCTCTACCCGCTCTCTCTCTCTCTCTCTCTCTCTCTCTCTCGCGCTCTCTTTCTGCCTTGCCTTGCTATTCTGCTTAGTCATCGTTCAGAACGGTTCACAAATAATCAAGTTAGGGGCCAAAGCAAAAATGTCACAAGTTGTCAAAAGGCCTGTAGCACAGTCCCCCCTCTCTCTCTCTCTCACACACACTGTCTCTCTCTCTCTCTTTCTCACTCTCTCCCTTTGCCTATGTGCCTCGTGCTCTGTGCCTTAAATCCGTTTAGCGCCCGCACGCCAATTACAATGACAATGAGTAATTATTTGTGCAAAGATCAGAGCTCAGAACTGTAGTCGAAAAGGAATTTTAATGGCAGCTGCAGCTGCTGCTGCTACTGCTGCTGCAGAAACGGGGGAAATGCCGCAAATTGCTGGCCAAATTAATTTTTACTCAAATTTTAATTTGAATGCATGCATAAAGACTGAGAGCCATTTTCCATTAACATGGTATTCATGGGCAGGCCTTTGTTTTGCAAATTTTCTTCTGCTTTAGCAATTGAATGGTATTTTTCTAGGTGTTGAATATGCTTTTGTCCTGGGCAAAGCGAATATGCTAATGCAATGCCATTGACAATAATGCTCTCCACAGGGAGGTGCGGAGAGTTTAATTACTTTTCGTCGATAAATGCGACAAATGAAAAATTGATGTGACGCACGTTGCTATTACTGCTGCCAACTTGTTTCGTTTAATTACCAAAAATTTGTGCACATATGCTCAAATTAATACGACAATTGTGCAGACAGCAACAAAATGCTACGCTGTGATAATGATAATGATGCCTCGCATCGAGAACAATGCCAGAAGTGCAATCCGAATGCAACGGATATGGTGTTAGAGCACGTTCACATATAACTAACTCCCCCAACAGGACCACGAACACATCACCCTTAGCCACGCATAGGGTAATGGTCACTAATCCTGATGACAATTTGGACATTAAGTGGGCGACAACGTCTGCGTGCCGAGCTGTGACATTATATCAATTACTCAATACCAACCACCGACACACACACACACACGCACACACTGATAGCGACCATTGCATTTGATGTAATAATTTGGACACACTGACATTTTTGGGCTATTGATGATGTGTTCGACGGTGTTCGATGTAACAAATCGTCCTTCATTTACTGGAGGGGGGCAGTGCCACGCCCACACACTCAACATCACCCATCAACAGCAATAGGAACACCAGATGTGCGGCTGCATATGCAGTTGTGATTTGATTTGGTGCCGCATGTGCGACAATTTTGGCCCCAGGGGAGAAATTATATCAGGCATAATTCGCAGCTAGAGTTGAACATATCTCGTGGCACGGCCACTCACGAAAAATATTTATAAATATATGTGTTTATGTATATAATAATGAAAAAAAAAACTCCTTGCACAGACCATTCAAAAGCTCTTTTATAAATATTTAAGAGAATGATATGTTAAGTATTGCATCCAGTATTGGTAAATCTTTCAACCGACAGAATCGAGTATTTTATACGACACATTAAAAATTTCTCTTAATTTTTTTATTATTTTATGCTTTTTAATTTTTTATTTCATTTTATGATTTATTTATTCTTTTTTTTTTCTTTCTTTTTTTGAGCGCTGTCTATGTTGTACATTAGTTTTTCAGCTATAACTGCTGCTGTTCGCATATTTTGTTTAGACAAGAGCGCATTTTTTACATTTTTGTTGGTTTTTTTTATAAGAGTATAAATGTGTTTGGCTAAAAAAGTGCTTTTGTATAAGAAGTATAAAATGTGCGTGGCATTGGCAGGTGCTAAATTACTGTAAGCTATATATTTTTGTACAATTTTGTATTCCTATGTTTCCGTTTGGCTCGATTTTTTTGTTGTTTTTTTTTGCGTTTCCTTTTGATTTTATATATTTTTTTTACATTTTCAAATTTTATATTTTTTTTAGGCATTTTTTTTTAAATTGTATTGTGGGAAACATGCTTAAGTGATTTATTTTTTTGCAACCACATTTGCTAAGGACTAATTCGCTTCTCCTGAATTAAATCACTTGGGACGGAATGTCAGAAATGTTAGGAATCGAAAGGGCAAGTGTCCAACGTAAAATTTAAATGTCTAACTGCTATCATTTAAATGTGATACACTACCTAATCGGGAGTAAGAGACTAACATCAGCTGCTTAGGTTTAAAGCTGGTGGGGATTTTTACATTTGTTACTTTTTTTTGTGCTTTAAAAATGATTGCAAATCTGTCTATTTGCTGGCATTTGCATTCTGCTTGGCATCCTTATCACCATGCAGTTGCACTGGCTCCTCCATAACGGTAGGCTCCACATTGCGTCGAATATCATTCCACAGTGCTGCGGATGTCATCTCCATCATTTGCCTGGGCGATGTCTGTACACTGTTCGACATGGATGATGCGTTACCTCTTAACTTATGAACCGAATCGTTATCGGAATCATCCGGGTGTTTTATAACGGGTCCCTCGTAGCCATCGAATATGGAGATGAGATTGTGCGTGGACTCCAGTAGATTGTACGAGGTCAGAAAGATGGCACGAATGCGCTTGAAAATTTCCGCATCGTAAACTGATCGAGCCGTGTTTGTGAGATCGAAAGGCTCCTCAATGCACAGCTGATTCCACTGGTGAACATCATTCTTGACCGCCTTTGCGGCGCGGCACGACTCCACGGGCAGCATTCCGCCAATCCTAATTGAAATCGCAAACTTGCCGTAATCAAAGATGCTGTAATACTGCAGAAATCCGAGCAGCAGCTCACCAAGCGACTGACGATTTTCCGATTTGTATGGTGGCATAATCTCATTCATGTCCACATAACCAAAATCATTGGGTTGCAATATGCAAAACTTCTCCGGGTACATTTTGTGCAGGCAGGGCAACACCGGTGGATTAACGCCAGCTTGCAGAAAGTGTATAACCATCAGCATCAAGGAGTAGCTGGATATGGTCATGTTCTTGGCATTATTAATATTATGATGCTGCGCCCACTGCTTAATGGTCAGCGCAATGGGACGGAGGCGCCACTCCAGCTGCGAATAACAGTACAGCAGATGAGTATTCCGTATGCCCACCGAGTTGTTAAAATTAATGTCCACCTCGACGTTATGACGCCGATCCATGAATCGTAAAATGGGCACACGTGCCTCAATCAGATTGAAGTCCTGAAACTGTTCGGTGGCATTCAACATTTCGCGCATCAGTTGCAAGTGGTAAATGGCTTCCGTGCGTGTATCCATGTTGGCATTGGTACAGGCCAGCATGCAAATATCCATGTCGGAGCACTTACAACCAAAAAATGAAATCGATGAGCCTACCAAATAGACACCATAGCGCGGATAAACGGCCTGTACCAGGATATTTAATGCCAATTTATCAGTTAGTTCAAACAAATAACAAATCGGCACAGACCGACTGCACAATACTCTGTTCCCAGTTCGATAACAGTTGAAACTGATGAACGGAAGACTAACCCAAATGTTGGTCACTGTAAATCTTTTCGTCCCTAAAATACCAACTTAGCATTTTCGCTTTGGGAACAGAGTTTAATTACTCATCATTGACCACTTACCATGGTCACCTTGTATATGAAGCGCCAGAGACGCATCTTGGTCTTGAATATGGTACGCGTTTGTTGCGCCTCGCGAAACTTTTGCCAAATGTTCAGCGTGAGTGAGTCCCATTTGTGGCGAATAGACTCGGAGCAGGGCGGACGCTTCATCTCGACGTGTTTGCAACGCGTGAGAAATCGATCCGCTGGCGTATAGCCAAAGAACTCGTGCCAGTAGCGATTCTGCATGGTCAGCGGCTGATCCTCCACAGACGCTTCATCCTAGACGAAATCGATGTGCAATTCAATCGAATCAATTCGAAATTATGTTGATGCATACCTTATCAATGTGTACCTGATTAGAGTTAGCGAGAACCGTATTGCTAGAATGAGCGGAGGGTGAGCAGGATAAGGCTAATGACTCTAAGGAATTATTATCGACGCCATCGCTGCTGTGCAAGGGTTGTGACTTCGGCTCGACGAGCATATCGCCACAGCAGTGCGATGAGCACTTGAATCCATTCCGTATCCTCTGGGGTCCCATGCACTCAGACTCACGCAGATGACGCATGTCCCCGAAGGGTATGAGATTGGGTCCCTTCAGTTTCGGCATTTGGGCACTTGTGGCCAGCGCCAAACAGCTCATTGTTATCTTGCGGACCATGGATTTCAGCGAAGCATCGCTCTGCTCACTCTCCGTGCTATCACTGGACGAAGTGGGAAAACTTTCAAAGGATTGTGTATCGCAATCGCCACCGCGATTCGGTAAACTATTGCTTTGTGCATCTGCATCCGATAAGAGTTCGGCATTAATCGGATTTCCAGCATATTCTCCGTCAGAGGTGCCGCTGCTTGTGGCTGATATGCCCTGTACATCCTGTTCCTGAAGCGCAGCAAGCTGTCCAGCCTCTACATAGTGCAGGGAATAGCCAACAGCATTATCCAATTGTGTAAAATTATAGGAGTGCGCTTGCTGTATCGGATTGGCAAATCTTGGCATGCGATTATCAAATGATGCCAGTTGCTGACCACGTTGCTGTGCATTCAGATTCATATAGCGGGCTCGATTGCGATAACTGCGCGGCTGATGATTGTCGGTGGTGGGGAGAGAGACTCCGGAGCTGGTCTCCGCCCGCTGCTCGAATTTCGTTTTGGAGGACGACGGTGACACCGAATACGATGAATGTGAACTACGCGCTGCTAACAGTTGTTGACTCCTCGAACTTTTTGGCTGTCTGCCCGATTGAAAACCGTTGTGGTTGTTGTTAGGGTTGTTGTTCTGATGGCCACCGCGTCGGCTCATGTTATTATTGCTGACCGGCTGCAAACCTGTGCGTGGATCAAAAGGATGACGAATGCGTGTGCCCGGAGCACCCGATGTCCCATTACTATTGCTATTGTAGAATGTCTTCGATTCGCGGGCAAAGGACATCGGATTGTGAGCATGTCGTCCCGGGCCAAAGCGCTCGCGTTGACGATTGAAGCGATCAGCTTGACCATAGTTGTGGCCAATATTTGTATAACCATCCTGTGGGGCAACAACCTGCTCGGCATTAGCCGATTGCTGTTGTGTCTGTTGCTGCTCGGCGGCAGTTACCTGATTTGATGTGCCACGACGATAATTGCCGCCACGTGACATTGCTGCTGTTGGATTATTATAGTTGTAATTGGGAAACATGAAACGCTGTGCGCCATGCGAATGATGATCGAAGCCCAGCGGCATCATTGGTATGCCATATTGTGAGCCAAAGACCTGATTGTACGGATAACTGCGATCGAATTGCCACACGGCATTTTCCGCATGCCACAAATGTCGTTGCGGACCCGTATACCCAGGGCACAAGAATTGCTGCGGCTGAGTCGAGAGATTTGCATTGATAGCAGCGGATGCCGCTGGAGCCGCCGCTGCAGCAGCTGCTGCGGCGGCAACTGTTGCAGCGCCAAAAGCCGTGCTTGGTGATGCGTTTCCCGAACGTGGCATCAGCGGCAAGACAGGGGGCAGGGGCGGCGGTGGCGATGTGCGCAGCGTACGCGGCGTTATGGATGTGGGCGTGGGTATATCGAGAGTAACGCCAGCCATATGGTTACCAATGCCATAAAGGAAGCCCATCGAGTACTTGTAGCCGCCGGGCGGTCGCGGCAACACATGCGTGATTGTTTTCGGGAGCAGTTTCTTCCTTCTCCTGCTCTCGCCAGGCAGCGGAAACTCGTTTGGATCTAGATAATCCGATTGAAACTCCGAGTTATTTTCCGAGTCAGTATACACATTCAACGCCTGCTGCTCTGACCGCAACTCTTCCTCATCTTCTTCTAGGTGGTGGTGCTGCTGCTGCTGCTGATTTTGGCATTTTGGTCTTTAATCAGTTGGCAATGTTTGACTTAAACTTACACTTGCGCTCGTCTCATTGTTTCCAGTGTAGGATTGCTCCACAAACTGCGGCATGGGCTCCAGCAACATGGTGGCCGTTTTTGTTGGGGTCGTTGCTACTGCTGCTGCTGCTGCTGCTACTGCTACTGCTGTTGCGATCGGTGCTGGCGGTTGTGTTGTGGACGTGCTGGTTGCACTTGCCGCCGCTGCCAGCGCAGTTGACATTGCTACCGAGTGCGGCGCAATTACAAATTAAACGACATATAGTTCAATGCTCACGCAAATACAGAATTTTCCACAAACAAAAATCCTATAGAATCTAATGCGCGGACGTGTGCTTAACCAAATTGCTCTAGACTTGTGTGTTCTTTTTATAATGTTCCTCGAAAATAAGCTAATATTTGACAGCTAACTACACGCCTTTCCACCAGCCACAGGCTGAGAAAGCCCTGTCACTATATATATATATATATAAATATATATTTATATTTATATATAAATAGTGTGTGCTTTAGAAATGACAATTTAACCTCAAGTCGATTCAATTAACCAAAGCATTTTCCAATGCATTTATTGTGTTCCGTTTCACATTTGTCACTTGCTCGCTTAGGTCTCGTTTTTCAATGTTTCTCTTTTAGGTTTTCCAAAATTTTTAGAAAATTACAATATGAATTTCACGTTCACAAAAAGTCAATTGTCAATCGCGTTTTAGGTGCTGTCAGCGAGTTGCCTGCCAGTGTTGAGTAAGTAACAAATAAAAAAGAGCTTGCAGCAGGCAACTCTTCAGTAACAAACACTTTCATAACTTTCAATAGTTTTTTGGCGAATGAATACAGCAGGTTACACTTAACAATATTATTTATGAATATGAATTCGAAATTGTTTATAAACTTAAATTTATGATTTAATAATCGCATATAATATGCGCATCTCTATCTGCAATGTTTAACATAAATTTGTTAAATGTTATATATCGATAATTTGCTTAATGCAACCTGTTAAACTGTCAATTAGCATTATGCTAATTATGCTTTATTAAAACTCAATCACGTCAAACTGCTCGGTAAATAATCAAAAAATAGGTTCCTGGAAATAGGGTCGATTCTATTTGTTCTTAGCCACTGGGTTCAGGGTATCGCGTAGTCGGGCTCTCTCGACTACAACTTGCTGATTTGTTATGTTGTTCAACGTGCGTAACTTTCATTTCTAAATGGAAAATAGCAATATTTATATTATTTGCATATTATATATGCAAATAAGAATTGTAAAGTTTAGTGACTAAGAGCAATAAGTTTTGAGATTATTTCAGGGTATCAAATTTTATGTTGTCTTGGCCTAGGTTCTTAATATCTCTTGATAAATGCGCAACTTATGCTTATGGCTTTTTATGATAAAAGAAAGTAAGCAATTTCATGCACGTCATATGTCTATACTATATTGGCAATTCAGCTTTTTGCTCATTTAAATATCTCTACTTGAGCAAAATATTCTGCGACTCGTGCTACTTTACTATACTATATTTCTGTGCTGATCCAAAGTATATATATGTGTATATGTACTGTACATTCCCTGCAAACCCAACGAAGACACATTTCAAAGCTCGTCTAAAGCATCACTTGAGCCAAATTCTTTGACGCATCGACAACAAAAGACGCACAAAGCACACCGAGTACAACAAAAAGCCAAAGCTGACACAATTTGTGGCAAGGATGTGGAATATAAAAAACTGCTAGCAAATCTACGTCAAACACTCGACATAGTTCCATTCTCAGCTCGTCTTTGCCGGGTGACATAAAAGAGCTTCCAGCATCACCATCACCATCACCCATCACCAGCACCAGCACCAGTTTGGAGCGCCCAAATTCCATTTACAATTTGATTTGCTTATGTAAATTATGAAAATTGCCCGCAGAGAGTAACCGCAAGTAAGATTCGATTTGGCGGCTTAACAAAATGCAGCCAACAAAACGAAAAATCCGAAAAGCACAAGGAACAAAAAAAAAAGAAAGTAACAGAAATAAAAATTGTTCATTGCTTTTTGGCTGTAATTCGAAACAAATCAAATTTATTGCCCAGACGCACAGGCGCCGCCATTGGCAATTTTCTGTTTGCGGATGCGGCCAGATGCGCTGAGCATATGAAATGAGCGCCAGGAGCGAGAGTCATACATATATATATTCAGATACGAGTTTATATTCAGATACGGGGCGGGCGCACACATATTCTAATTAGATTTATAATGCAACAGAAATGTTGTTGTTGCTGCTGCTGTGCCAAGAGATTTTCAAATTTAAAATTTTTGAATTATGCTCGACATGAACAGATGACACACCGAACTAAAAGGGGTGGCTACGGGCAGGGCAGGGCAGGGCAGGACAGGACAGGACTCGGCTTGGCAAGGACCAAAGCCGGATTCAGGCAGCAGATAAGCCAGGCAAAAGAGCAAAAGGGAGTGTGAGAGCCAGAGAGAGCGAGAGAGAGAGAAGCTAAGCTAAAAAATCAGTGAGTCATAGTCATGGCATATTAGTTGGGGTTTCGATTTTGGATTGCGGCTTATGGTCCCTTCGGCCCCTCGTTCCGTTGTTCCCTCTTCCCATGCGGGCTGCAGCAATGCGTGACGCGTGTTTCAGATTTTCGATTTAGCACACACTTTTTTTTTGTTTTTTGCTCTGTGTGTGTGTGTGTGTGTGACTCATTGGCAAACTAAAAATTAGCCAGGAAAAAGAGAAGTGAACTGAAGTAAAGTTTCATATTACATGCAAGCAATTTGCCAAATAAACTGTCAGCAACTGTGGGCTACTGGGACCGGGAGATTTATCCTTGCCCAGAACAAGATGCCATTGGCCTTATCGATTGAGCACTGAATAATTCACCGAGCAAATGGTACAAATATGTATGCAGCTTGCCAGTCAGTTCAGTTCAGTACAGTTCCATTCAGGCAATCCAATCCAATCCAATCCCCTGGGCACGCACAATAATAATCAGCAAAAGGGGCGTCTGCGTGGGCCACAGGGTTGCTACAGTCCAGCTAGAATCTACCTATGCATACTATATATATATATATGCACATCGTAAAGATCTACCCCTCAAGCGGGGGCTGTTGGCAAAAAGAGAAAAACCAAAAACGAAAAGCGAGAAATCGAGGCAGCAGCTGAATTATTTCGAGGCGCATTTAGAGACGAAGTTTTTAGATTTCGTTACGCAACGCAAAATAATATGTGTGACAGGTAATTAGATTAAGCTAATTTTGCTTTTATTAGCAATCAGGCTCGTCAGTTACGCTTTGCGCATTTTGGTTAATAATTTTATTTGGCCTCGCTCCCTTGAGGCACTGTTTCCAGTGTGGCAGTGTTCTTTGCCCCACACACAGCTGTGCAACCCAATTGAACGAAGCGACCGACGTTCAGTGTTGCATGGCGGCTGTCAGAAGTAGCTGATGGTCATTTGGCGCAATGCAACACTAGCCAGCTGTGTGTGTGTGTGTGTGTGTGACGGCCTGTCTATCTATCTGTCGCTTTGCTTGTCTCGCTGTGTGTGAGTGCGAAAAATCAAATAATTAATAATTCATGGCACACGATTGACAGTGCGCCCAGCTGAACCAGAACTCTTTCCTGCACTCACTTCACTGTTTACTTATTTTTTTGCGTGCGCACCGCCTCATAAATTTACAATTACAGATGCGATTGCGAATGCGAGAGGTTGCGCCTTTTGCGTTTTGTTTTATTTATTTTTTTTTTTTAATTTAATAAATTAATAAAACAGCAACGTTACAACACTGGCAACGCCATCAAAGTGGCAAAGTGTTGCCATTTGCATTTTTAATGCACTCGCTGCGTCGCGTAAAAATAATTATCAACTGAATTGATGATGAGTCCACAGAATGCCATGGAAAACGGAATGCCTGAGAGACTCCCGAAAAGAGAGAGAGAGAGAGACAGAGACAGACACATATAGATGATGTGGCACACACATGTGTGTGTGTGTGTGTGCGTGTGTTTGCCGTGTCAACACGGCCGCAGCCACGCCTGGCCTCGCCCCGCCCCATTTCCCATCCCTGGGGTGTTGCCAACAAAAATAAAAGAAAAAACTTTCTCAAATTGAATTTCACAATTTGCGTGTCAACTTTCCTGACTTTTATATACAACATAAAAAAATATCACATAAATATAACAAAATGTTTTAGTTGAGGACGCACAAAATGTATATGTGATTCACTGCAATTTCACTTTCAACTCGCGCTAATTGCAAAGAGCGAATTAAACAAAAAATAAAAGATAAACGAAATGTAAACTGAAGAGCAAAATAAGGAAGTCCAGCGCCAACAATTTATAAGTGCGGCAAAAATTTTACTTTTCCTTTTCAGCACACTTTGGCACAATGGGTGGCAGCGTGCCATGCGCTTCCTGGGTCTTCCTCGCCACGTTTTGTTAACCGGAATTGGGTACGAGCAGGATCTGGGTGGAGTTGGGAGGGGAAATAACTGCACCTGGGCGGTTTCCGCACCTGGCCGTAGTTAACCCCAATTATGCGCACAAAGCCCAAACAGAAACGACCCAGCGAGACAGACACAACTAGTAGGCAGACAGAGGCGGCGACTACGTGTGGTAGTTGAAATATTTAAGCAACAGCGCGCAAGGAAAATGCCATGGAAAATGCTATAAAAAGTTCGTTGGTAAAAAAGTAAGTAAGATGAAATGCAGCCGCAGGCATTCAAATAATAAGGATAAGGAAGCGCTTGTTAACCACGAAACCGCTCAAAAAATATGAATGAAACCCAGTTGCGAGTCAGAGTTCGTATCGCCATTCGAGTCAGAGTCATTGTTGAGCACCGGAGTGAGTCAGTGTGCCGCTGACGGCGTTGCCGGACCGTTCATTTGCAAGAGCCGCGTGTTCATTATGCGCTTCCTGTTTGCTTAAGCTCTGTACAGAGCATACCCAAACCCAAAATCAGACCCATCTCAGTTCCCCTTACCCCCGTTCAGGCCAGCTCCTGCCCGAGGATTCCCTAGCTGTAATTGTTCTGCTGCTTGTTGTTATTGCAGCGGCTATTGGAGAAGAAAAAAAAAATTTATCCAATTTCCATTGTGCAGAGCGTTAAATTTGGAAAGTTTGCCATCGCCGGGGCATGCCCCGTGGGCTATTGACAGAATTTGAGTGAAGCAAAAGTGAAATTGCCAAGACGAGCGTAAAAATAGCAAGAACTTTAATTATGCAACGCAAATAGAGTGGAGTTTAGTAGCGAGTAGCGAGTAGCTAGCCACCTGTCAAACATTTGCCAACACTGGCAATGGTCCGTGCACCACTTCACAATAATATACATACATATTCATATTCGGTGGCCAATCGCATAATTACGAGACTTCAAATGGTTACAGTCTGGCAAATTTTCCATATGAAT